TGGGATTGACCGTCACATTATAACGCCCCCACGGCTGAAAGGGCGAGCATGTTTGGTGTGACAGGGATTCGAACCCGCGACCCTCAGATTGCGAGTCGAGTGCCTTAACCACCTGGCCATGCCTGGCCATTTATTTATGAGAGTCGCTTGAAACATTTCAATGCCGTGGGTTGTGGTTTTGATACTTCTTTTTAAATTAATCTCTTGTCATTTTTTAGAACATAATAGAAATCCCTTAGAAAATCAGTATTGGTTGTGTTTCCTTGAAATAATACTAAACAATCCTCCCTCTTTTCACAGATCTGAGTATCTCCCTCTCTTTCTTTGCCATAAACACACACATACATAAAGTATTTAAAAATACTCGGCACTTCCGTTGATCTACCTTGAACTTGAATTGTATTATATATATATATATATAATACACACACACGTTGTAACCGCTTTAAGTGGCCAAAGTTATGGAAGTGAAATGTACACGTTGACTTGCAATCTCCACCGTTACAACTTTCCCTGAAAACAAGTTTAAACACCGTATTTTAGAAAGGAAAAAGAGATAAAATACAACGTAGTAGTTCTGAAAAACAATTTTTGATTATATTTTTGCCATATTTATGTATGGGTATTAATAAGTGATTTAAGTACATCGCTTAATACTATTGTAAACTACTTTTTACTTTGGATTTTTGCAACAGTAACATCAAATCTCGTATTAACGCTAACTGATAGTACTCACCAATCGTACGATATACTGTACAAAATATAACAGTCAAGATGACAAACCACGTGTTCCAATCGTGTTCGTCGTTCACAATTGACACTCCGAGAAACATGAAGATAATAGTTTCCGATGAATTAGCTAACATCTTCATAGCGTATTTTAAAGTGACGTGAGATTTGTAAGTTATATTTTCTTCCACATAGTTTTTCATGGTTATGCCACAAAATGTCAGCCTAAACAAAATTTCAAGTTAGTTCAATGTTATTCTTCAGTGTCACATTATGAATTTAAAGAAAATACAAACAAAGAAAATATGCCCAGGATACAAATATCTATCTTAAAACATAAACAAACAAAAATGTATACAATCTAAGTTGTTACAAGCTAGTGATGATTATAGTGGCTTAACTAGGATTCTTGTTTACAAATACACCTTTTTACTTATGTTTACTCACACGTGTATTGTTTATGATTTCACGTGATCACACTAACTACAGTTTTAAATAACAATTTAAAAACTCCTGGAATTTTAAAATTGTCAATTGGGGGGGGGGGATATGAGCTACTAATTTAACATTAGTTTATTATTTTGTGCATGAAACTGGGTGTTCATTTCATAATTTTTTCAATATTGGAAAAGCATTAATTAAATATTACATTAGTAGCGCCAACAAATTCATTGATTAAAAACTTGACAGAGTGAATAACTTAAAATAAAATGAACCACTGACGTAGAACATTTTCCATATAGCAATTGTGTTGTCATACCGTAGGCTAAGCATTACACTTTAACTTCAAATGTAAGTAAAATACGTTAAATTTAGTTTGGTTTTATTAAAATATAGTGGTTCATCAGACTTGTGCATTGTCAAGGGAAAGTATATTATGTATTAATTCTATTTTTCTGGCTGGCTCGGCGATATTGTAATAATTGAAAACACCAACATGGTAAGTACATGACTGATTTGTTTTGAAGTTCCAACTTATATCCAACTATTTCACTAGTTATCATAATCTGTAAATTTATAAAGGAGCTTCTATCGACTATCGAACGTTTTATTCATGAAATTTATAGTTGGACAAAATGGGGGGGGGGGGTCTTTTGGGTTTATAGTGGAACTAGTTTCATGTGCGAATTTGGGACGAAAAAAGCATTTCCGAAATATGTAATGGTTCCTTAATCATCACTGCAAATAAACATTTCTAGTAAATTCATTCCGATAAATATGAAAATGTCATTTCCGCATGTATACACAATGTTACAACAGCAATTATATAATGAAAGGCCATCATCAAAGAAAGGAGAATATATATGTTAATAGGTGAGCGGAACTCCGGCGGGAATGGGGGAGTTCGATCGCACCCCCCCCCCTCAACCTCCCCCAGCTACGAAATTGTTCAGTACCATTGAATGTAGAACCACATCTTTCAAACATTCATTGTAGCTTTAGTTTAATTATAAAGCGGAATCCGAACACAATACATTGTCTTAATTTTAATTAGTTAAACAGGAATTTTTCGTCGGTTTTCTATTACGCTATTGTCGGTGATCCCCAGGATTTAGAAATATCCAAGATTTAACAGACTGGGAATACGATACCCTATTAGTTGTTGTAAAATATGTGTGAAAAAATAAATAAACCTGCTTAGATATTTATTGGTAAATGTGCAAACTTTTTTTTTTTGCAGTGAATTAAAACCCTCCTCCACTACAAGTAGCGTAGAGTAATATTACCGACGTAACTTGAAATTGTAAGCTTTGATTTTCTTAAAACAAGATTATTTTCGTTTCTTTTATAACTTGAGGAAATGACTCATTACTATATAAGATATACAAGTGATCTCAGTAATAATTAGTGAGATTAATAGCAATATTGATGGTATTTTTGTTAAAATTTTGTGTGTGACTCAAGTTATTAGGGACCCTATAACCAACAAAATTGTGGACTCAGAAGTAATTTGGTGCATAAATAGTTTAGAAATATCTTTTTACAAAAACATAATTTTAAAGAACAACAGAAACATCTTTCACTACGTGATATACGTGTTTCTAAGTTTGCAACCATATTATTCAATAGGCCTAAAGACTTGAATGAGTACTTATAACTCGGCATAATACTTGTAATGATAGACATTTTTTGGCGTGCTTTTACATAATCGGTTTTGCAAAAAAATAATTAAATATTACAAGCTATTTGTTGTTACAGTTTTATCAGTAAACAGGATGTTCACATAATCCATCCCGTATTTTAAAGAAGTATAATTTTGTTCTAGTAGAAGGCGAAAAATATGATAAAAATTTGTTTCGAAATCTTTTCACCGAGTGCAGCAGTTGATAACTTTTTTTTTCTACTGCACTAGTATCACAAAATGTTGATACAAAATTCTATAGAAAACATTACAAGTTTTAAAACTTATATACCTAAATAGTCTCAAGTAGCTATTATTCAAGTGGCTGTATAAGCATAAACATGAACTACATATTTTTAAATAGCTATGGATATTTAAATACATAAACTCTTAAGTGCATCACTTGCAAGTAAATCTTAGAGTTAAGCAACTATCAACATAAACACATACTTTCAAGTAGCTATGAATACTTATATAAACACTTTCAAGTAACTGCAAGCATTTAATAAAATTATGCCATTCAAAATTGTCAACAACACTTACAAACACAACAGATTAGCTATGAACACTTGTAAAGACACTTTCACGTAGGTATACTATATCAGTTCGATTTCGGTTAGTGTAGCAGCTTTATTCAAAACCAACAGTAATCTGAACCATGTGTATTGTAAGAAGAAGTCAAAATACAAAATACTTTCTTACAAGTCATGTTTGTTTTTTGCATAGAAAGAGATTTCTGATAGTGATAGAGAAAAGTCTTCAACTTAAGGAAATTGTGAACCAATTGCTAAGATAAACCAACGTCAAGTACATTGAAAATTCTTGCCTCCATATAAGTCTTTAAGGATTACGTTAGTTTAAGTTTCTCATTAACAACAACTTTCTTCATAGCAAAATAACATGTTAAGTACTTACGCCACAATTCCGGATAAATGGAACAGCTCAGAGGTGAGGTAAGAAAGATATCCTAACACAAAAATAAACAAAGGCTCTATGATCAACACATGATGAGTGAATCTGGACAAAACTGCCGCTATGATACCCCATAGAACACCAAAGAAAGCGCCTCCAAGCGATGCAACGAAGAAAGACAACACACCCGCCAGGTAGTCAATGGGTATGATGTTTTCCTGCCCCATTTCAGTATAGCCTTCGAACATATGATACAGAACCTGAAAGTGATAAGAGTTGAGTTACAATAACACAAAAAACTTCCTGAAAAGTAAGTGCATTTTTATCAATATACACACTAACATTAAAGACAAGAAATGTTTGGTTACATTAAGTTATTAACAGAGTTGAATTGAAGTTTATGTAACAGATTGTTTTCACATGATTATTAAAACTTTCACTTTAGCAAATCATATTTTTATACATTATAATATACTCTTATTTTTGTTTTGTATATTAGAGGTGGTGGGCAAAGTTTCTTACGAACTTATACGCGAATTGAAAAACAATTCCTGTTCCAAGAACAATTATCAGAAATATTAAAGTCTAATTTGAAAATGTAAACATTTATACCCGCATCTGAAACTAATGTTTAAAAATATTTGACGTACAAATCCATGTCACATCGTGCACGGTTAGTGTAACATTCTTGCCATAACTGACAAAGTTTACTTTTGTTTTACATAATGTTACACTATTACTGTTCAAAGATATTTTGCTCTACATAATTCTGACATTGAAGTTGTAGAACGTTAAGAAGTTCCTGGAATGCACGAATCCCGGTATTTCTGACGCATATACTCTAATATTTACGTTCAAGTGAAGATATTATGTTGAGAAAAAGTGCCTAAACTATAATTTGTAACAAATATATTGTCACGTATTAAAATTTCAAATAGCCAAAAACTAAGTTAAATTGTGATTTGGATTTAGTAGTTAAATAAATGTCGATATGTATCCAATTTATGATATTTGTCAACAAGATTGATACACACAGTTTTCTTTTTTAATATAAATATATTTTAATATACAACCAATAATACAATTTACAATAACAGTTATTACAAACAATGATTTATAAACAAAAGTTTGACAAACTTACAAGCAATATAAATTCTTCTTTCTAGTCTGGAACTTCCTTGATATCTTATCGAGGGTTTACGATGAACGAGTTAATTTCGAGTTGACATAAGTACAATTCACTTAATAGGGAGCTAGCTAGCTCTGTGGTCTTTACCGATCACACGCCAATTTTGTTTTTCACAGATGACGTTAGGTAATGTTTTCGTAAAAGTACTAATGTCCCATGTGAATTCACTGAAGTTAAATGGTTTGTAATTTCGAAATTTATA